CCTATAATTTTTGTCATTATAGTGGTGTTGTGCTTTAAACGGCTATGCGCGCGCCTAGTATTTCAACAAATACTCTAGAGATTTCACCACAATTTTATAAGAGCAGCCTCACTCTACATTCATCTAGGTGATTCCATAAGAATATGAAATCATTAAAATCTGTGCTCAACCTCACCAACGATGCATTCTAACACTTTCTCATATCATACACCATAGGAAGAGCAACAAAGTAATTTTAATACTAGCAAAACTAACAAATGATTTATTCTCACCCATATAAACCTTTTTCATGGGATCACTAATCACAAATGTTGGGTTACCATCATAACATCCTAGAGAATGTAACCCTTAATTAGTTGAATACATGAGGATTAATTAAGTAAATTAATATGGTGCGTGGTTATAAAGACCTAATGGGTGTTTTGGGTAGTCTTTTCAACCTTAAGATTGAGTCCGAAATGAAGTTAGGCCACCTAAACGTCAAAAAGGGAGAAAAATAATAGGAAAAGGCTCTGTGTCACATGCCATGGTGTGTGCACGAGAAGCTGCGGCGCATGGGCTAATCAGAGCATGAAGACCCCTTTCTATACCACATGTTATGGCATGTGGGGACATATGCCATGGTGCACAGTACAAATTCTATAGAATTAAGTCATGAAAACATATTAAAAACAGAGTGGAAATGTAATATCCAGGAAAATTAATTGTGATTAGTTAACCTGATGATTTTGATTAGTGAGTTAATAAGGTATGTGGCTAGAGAGGCCTAATTTATGTAGATCATTGTGATTTCAACCCTAAAAGTGGGTTTGGATTAAAGGTAGGCTATATGGGCAAGGAAAGAGGAAGAAAGAATAAAGGTTTGCCCTTTGTGCCACATGTCATGGCGTGTGGTCAATCCGCTATGACACATATGGCAAATTTGAACATAATGGACCTTTCTGTGCCATGGCCGTGGTGGAGCATAGTGTGCGCTATGGCGCATGACCAAAAATTTGATAAATCATATGCATCTTTGCATGTGAAAATAAAAGAGAGGAGAGGAAGAAAATGAAGAAATCGACCTTAACTCTATTAGGGCACGTTGTGGGATCATATTGAGGATAGATTAAAGATCCCACATACCTAAGGTAAGTAATATAAGCCTTCTTTTTCCTTTCCTCCCTCATTTATGGAGATTTATGATAGGGTTTGAGTTGGAGAGTTCCTTTTCAGTCTATAGGAGTATGGGTCTAATCTCATTGATTAAAATGGGTATAATGAGAGTTTTTAAGGTATTAGAACACCAAAATTTGTGATTGTTGAAGTGGTTAGTCCATGGGGGTAATAAATACCCAAAAATTGACATAGATGTGGTAGTTAGGAGAGGTTTATGTCTATTAGTGGTGGTTTAATGACTTATAAATGATAATGAGAGTTATTAGAACCTATAAACCCATTAGGTATGAATGGATAGTAATTTATGGCTTGAAAGAGTAGAGTGTGTGCAGATATGTATTGGTTAATCCTCAAGATTGAGACAATGATGATATCTTTGTGTTACGAATGCAGTGAGGTTTGATTTTAGCACCATTCAAGCTTGGGAGAAGCTTTAGAAGTATTTTGGGTAAGGGGTAAACCTTTGACCTCTTAAAGGTTTGAGGTAACCAAGAAAAACCTAATTTTTATAGTTGAATGTTAATTATGTTTGTGAAATATGGTTGATGATTTAGATAAATGATACATATTAGCAATGTGTTTAACTCGTGAAATGGTCTTGGAACGAAAAACATTGATTATGTCATCTACTTGTGATTTATAAATTTACTTGTGTCATGTTGTGAAACTAAAGAATTATGATATGTGGAGTGATTGAGTATGAGTATGTGAGTTTATGTTCCATGAATTGATTATTTAAAATTCTTATTATGTGAAATGTGCATAGCATGATTATTGGCGGGAGTTTGCCTAGGGCGAGGAGTAGATTGATTTAAATTCATGTGGTACTAGCAGTGACCGTTGAAATCAGGAACTTGCCTTGGCATCGACTATTGGAATAAGGAGGTAGCCCTTATCCCATGGTTGATTTAGGATTGTACCACTTATTCTATGAGGGACTTAAACCTAACTAGTTTCTATTGGTTTATGAAGAGGCTAGATTTGGGGTACAACACCCTATGGTTATTAGTATTGGGAGAAATCAGATTACATAAGTAAGTGAGTTTATTTTAGCTTGGTAGCTCCTCACAAGTGAAAGGCTGGGTTACTTTATGAAAGACATAGTCATGGGGCAGCCACCAGTTTCATGTCAGAGGTAACAAGAGGGTATAAGGTGGCATTTGATCATGTATATAAATTCAGCACATGATTGTTAGTATTGTGGTCTGGTATGTGTTAGGGGTGTATGATTGTTATTATTGTGACCTCATGTTTCATTTTGCAAAATAATGGTTATATGTGTTGAAGGCCCGATCACATAATTGTTAGTTTTGTGAACCGTGGCCAATTTTTTCATGTTCTGTTTACATTATGCTTGTTTAGCCTATTTGCATCTATTTACAATTAATATGTAACAACATAGATTAGGTAAAAAAACTTGGTTACTAAGTGGTTGTACTCACCTTTCAATTCTTAATATTTTAGGACCTAGCTCATTGGATTAGAGTTAGGGAAAAGCACTCTAAGGCATAGGATTGTGGTGAAATCCTACTTTCATGCCTCTTTACTTCACTTGTGTATTAATGTTGTGTAATTTTCAACTAGGATCACATGTTATTGTTTTTGTACTACTTGCATTACCATAGTATACAACTTATGTATTTTGTGCTCAGGTTAGTGAGTTTTAATTGTAAACCCGTAGATAAGGTTAAAATACTTGTGCAAGTAGGAACATGTGTATTTTCAAAGAATTGAAATGAAAATGATGATTTTGTGCATGAATTTCCTCCCCTTTGTATTTTGTGAAAATTGGGGTTGAGTGAAGAATTTATGATATATGAGGTTTGATTGTGTATGGTGCATTGCATGAGTTCACTAGAGTCTATTGGGTATGATCGGATGGTCAATATAGGCTTTTGGCACGTGACGTTTTGTTAGGACACCAAAGTTGTGAGATTTTTGTGAAAAAGTGGTAATATGATTTTTGGTGTCCTACTTTTTATAAAAAGAGAATTTGAGTGTGAAACTAGTGCCATTAGCTAGAACTAGAAGAAAGCTCTGTGTAGACACCAAAATCACCTTAATCGGATATCGGATAGAGATTTAGGATACGTTGGAATTTTGCTCCCTGTGCTGTCAAATGACAGCATTGATGCTGTCAAATTCGTGCAATACACCACAGCGCATGGTGCCTCATGCTGTGGTGCATGGCATAGAGAAGGATGAGCCGTAAAGCGTATGTCATACGCCACAGCACATGTGTCATTTTCTGCACAAAATCCTGTTTTGAATTTTAAAACTCATAGTTTTAGGCCCCATTAGTTTTTCAGGGTTTCATGCCACTTTCAAACTATGATTTGAACATGTTAAGTGTGTGATTGAGATTGAAAATTGAGTCCTAGGGATCCCATAATATATGTTTTAAAAATTGTTATCATTTGTGTAATTATTACAACTTTGATAATCCTTTGAGGGTTAATCCCTTAATTACCTTGAATTTGGAGTTAAACATGATTAAGAAAGAGGGACTTTATAGGAAAGAAAGGATACACTGAGGAGATGTGAGGAACTCTATTAGGGCTTGAAAGATTGAAGGATTGGAAGTTTTCTGAAGCTTCTAAACACTAGAGGTAATTTTCTTAAGCTTGAATCTCTCTTTCTCTTCCATTTTTCTTGATGATGGGAGTTAGTATTTGGTTGAGAAAGATGATTTATAGAGACTATAGGTCCAAACCCATTAACTTAAATAGAGTTAATGAGAGTTGATTGAGCTATCTAAATCTAGCATTTGTGTTTTTGGTTGGTTGGGGCTATAAATGGATGAAAGTCCACTACTAATGAGGTAGTTAAAGCAATGTGGCTTCATTAATGGTTATTTAGGAGTTTAATGAAGTTAATGGAAGTTAGAGAAAGTTGAGAAACCTTATGGGTACCTTTATATGTAAAGGGTATGAATCTTAAGGGTGAAGAAATATTGAACTAGGTGGTGGAAATTAGGCAAAAAGGGATATTGATGAATTATATTATTACTAATTGTAGAGTAATCATATTTGGCTCCATTCAAGTTTTGTGGAAGCTTTCATAAATTGAGAGATAAACTTTTGACCTCTCAAAAGTTTTAGGTAATTGAGAAAATTCTTTCTTGTACTTTTGTGTGTTAATTAGTTTATTGAGTTATATTTAATAATTTAAATGTGTGAGATTAAATGAAATGCAAGTATAACATAACTTACTTGAAAATCCACTATGTTGATCTTGTAAAGTTTAATTATGTGTTTTCATTTGAAGTTTAATGATATGATTCACAATGGAATTCAATGACCGTGGTGTCATGAGGAGTTCAATGACTTGAAAAATGAAAAGTTCAATAAAATAATATTTGTGGAGTTCTATGATGTATTGTTAGTGAAGTTCAATGAATGCATAGATGAGGAATTCGATGAGATAAGTAAAGTGGAGTTCAATGATATGATTTTGTGAGTTAATGTATTTTTCATATGTAAAATGAGTATAATGATGATGTTATGCATGCTTCTATTGGATAGGTAGGTACAACAGAAGATTAAAATTTCAAATTCTCTATTCTGATATGGATTGAATGAAATTGTTTAAGTTAAGGTAGAAATGTCACGCCCCAAAAATTAAATGTAATCGGCATGGGACGTATGCATAAACACATCCCCCTTAAGCCTTGATTAAGAAATCTCTAATCTAATATATGAATTTATATAAAATATAATTTGAAACATCATCATTTAAAAAAAAAGCTTTCTAGATTTTTTATAGAAATTTTAGGAGAACCTTCCCTGTAAATAAGACCTTCCGAAACCACCACAACAGCCATATATAACGCAAGAAAAAAATAAAAAAAAAGTGTGGAACTCTGCTCCTCCACAACATACAGATAATAATCTTACCTATAGTTAACATGGAGCAACTAATCATAAATTCAAAATATAACACATAATTAAGCATTAACAAAAAAAAAAATGCATCCCCAAAAATCTTCTAATCAATCCAACAATGAGCCTGCAAATGTCAACAAAAGGCGTAGCATCAATTATACCATCTGAAACCAAATAAATATTTTTCAGTGAATAACATCTCATATTAATAAAATTTAAAAGGATAAATCGAACAAATAACAATGATTACATAAATTAAAGACAATAATTTCATATAAAATAGTTTATAAACTATGAACATAAGAGATTTTATATAGCCTTAAGTAAAATGTCAAACCATTAAATTTATAATATCAAATATCCTTGTCACTTGGTCTCAAAAAGACAAATAATTAAAATAGATAAATAAAGTAACATTTACTAATTTAAAATAATGGAGTATGAAATCACCAAATAATTAAAAATTATATTTCTAGGGACTTATCAGAACAATTAACAAACGTGGACACACAGTCCACGAGGGTAAATAACCAGATATGGTCGAAGCCACGAAAACAAATGTGGACACATAGTCCACAATGTAAGTAACCAAACGCGCACAATCCACGAGGATAATACTAACCAAATGCGGTCGAAGCCACAAAATGAAACGCAGGTACAATACCTAATAATAACAAATATGAGAACAAAACTCACAAAAATCAAACTAGCTAGTTATTGACTATGGCATGTTAAGGGCTAACAAAACTGCCGTTAACAACTAGTGCTCTGTATAAAGATCTCTTGAACCTCATTTTCAAACATGCAAGAAAATAATCACTTTTAAAATAAATTTTTCATTTTTAACGTGAAACTCGCATAAGCCGTTTAAAATATCAATCCTTCTAAGAATGAAAACTCATATCAATAACATACATTTCTTCACCAATATCCATAATTGCTAATTTTTATCAAATAAATAAAAAATTTACCAGAGCTTGTAAAAACATTTTCTTGAATCTAAAAAAAATGCCTTTTGCAAGAGAATATACATACATATACAGAAATTCATCTATCTTTCACCATACAAACTATCAGTTCACGAGCTCAAGTAATTTAGTTAAGGAAGATGTTCAACACCAAAGATAGTACACATGATCTATTTAAGAAAAATAATGTTTCAGTAGAAAGAAATTTGTTAGTAAATTAATTGGGATGTTATCCACTTCCCTGAGACATTCCCAAACATATAATTTTTTCTTAATTAGCCACTTTTGTAATATTGTCCATGCGTTAATTCCCTAATGCTCAAAGGGACATTATTGCTATTTCTTTTATACATTTTATAAATTCAAAATCTTCAATCCAACCAAATTGAAAGAATGGGGGAAAGAAAATCTCATCAACATCAACCCTTCACAAATAAGAAGCCAAATTTAATCAATAAATCCTCAACAAACACACATATAAACAACATTAGAGCTTCCAAGTTTATCTATAGACAATAAACAACTTCTATTATAACATAATTAATGTTATCATTTATATATATATATATATATATTTAATTTTCATAAACTTAATTCCTCAAACATTTACCAAGCACTATTTGAACTTAAAAGCTAACAAAAGAACCAACAAACTTGGTTCTTGAATTATTGATGCCTAAAATTTTCCACCTACAATCCCAATCCTGTATTACAGAGAATTATTACCTGTTATAACAATATACCCAACCATAATCCACTTATCACATTCATTTGCTACTAAAAACTAGCATCCCCCTATCAAACAATTCATCAAATATTATGTGAATTCAAACTTAAACCACACAGTTATTCTTTAAATATCTTCCCCAAAATTTCATGAACATATATATATATATATATTTAGCAAACGTTTCAAATTTCATTCCTTCAACTAAAATCAATTTAAACTCAAAGAAATGCCAAATCCAAACAAACATTCATCATGCAGCCAACAAAATTATAATATAGCTACTTCTCAAATGTGAAATCCTTAATCTTCAACTTAAGCTTGTTAGAACATTCAATCGTAAAGCAAAATTTTAGCGATCAGTTCCTAATCCAAAATTTTAGCAATTCTCAACCACAATACATACTCAAATCTAACAAGGGAGAGAGTGAAACTTGGCTCACCAATAAAGCAAAGAGTACCGAAGGAAGGAGAACCAAAATTGCAGTGACAGAACATGAAGATCAAGAAGACGAGCTGTGAGCGAAAACAGGGGAGGAGAAGGACCCACAAATCAAACCTCCAGCAGCAACAGAAACAACTCCCGTGTACACACTGGCAACGTGTAGAAGGAATAGAGAAAGGATTCAAAGCACCACAGCACAATACAGACGAAATGGGAAGAAATCGACGACACACAGATGAAGATTGCAAGCTCATGGATCTACTGCAGCTGCGGATGAGACGGCAACTCTCACAGCACCCTCGACGGCAACTGGAAGGAGGGAGGAAGAGGAAAAATGGAGTGACTCCCTCTCTCTCCCTCCCCCCCCCCTTCTCCTCTCCGCCGAGAAACCAGCAATCTTTCGAGAAAAATGAAGCAGGGAAGAGACAAACTCCCCTCCTACTACTTATCTCATATATATATATATATATATATATTTTGATGGCATTTTTGTAATATCGTAAGACTGGAACAAAAAAGACACAAAAATTCTCTCTTATACATAATAAAGATTCGAACCCATACTTAATAAACTACAAGTTTCCATTGAACTAATAATCTTTCTTGTTACCTTCACTACAAAACTCTTTAAAAATACACTTAAAATTTTTTATCATAAATTTTAATTAATTAATTTTTTTATTTTTTTTTTTGAGTTATTACAGGAAAGAAGAGTTACATTTTTCTTTTCATGCTTCATGTATGTTCTCTTCAAGAGTCTAGATCTTAGGAGTCAAAAATGTAAACCTACCTCTCTAACTTGAACAACATGCTAGTACTCCTAGCATTCGTTCTTCTTTGAACGTTAGTTTTCTTTCTCTAGAGTGTTTCGTGGCTCTTAAAATGTTTGATTGTCAGAACTTTTTTAACTCTCTCATTTTTGCACGTCCCCTTGTATCTATTATAGATAGATTAGAGTTTTTTGCCTTCCTCTTAAAGAACCAACCAAAATTTAAATTAAATTTATCTCATAGATAAAATTTACAATATTATATCTAATTTGAATTTATCTTATAAATTCAAATTATAAAACTGATATGATATTTTTTCACATCATGTTAGTTATTAAATTTAATTTATCATATAAAATTAAATTTAAAACTAACATAACATAACATAATATATATATATATATATCACATATACATATTATATATATGCATATGTATTTCAAAAATATATATTTTTATATAATTTTATATATCATATACATATATATAAATATTTATCAAATAAATATTCAAATATATATATATATATATATTTCATTCACTCTATATTATATTCATTGAATCTAGACATATTCCAGATTCAATGAACTTGGGTATTATAATTTGAGTTGGGCTGTTCTTATGTGTGACGTTGTAGGTCCATACGAAGTTAGCAGTAGGCTAATTACGTTATTAGCCTACAAGTCATAAGTGACTTCTAACAAGACATTGCAACTACCCAATTTATATGAGGATCGATAATCCGATACAATCTATCATATAACCATATCATATCCCTTTTGTCACGTGATATTTCAGTCAAGTGTGAGGCATATAATTGTCATTCTCCTTTAATTGACCATTACTTTTTTAATCTCTGAGTGGATTGACATGACAATGAAAAAACCCTTTCTATTATAGTATGGCCATATATTTTTTAAGTTTTACTCATCGAGGGGCCTAGTAATATCTCTCAATTAATATGAGGGACACATCTTGACCACTCATATTCCTCTATATGAATATCACCAAATTCAATCATAGTCTTTATGATCACCTAGTCAAAGGTGACTTTTGATTAGGTCAAAGTTTAATGGTCATCATATAGGAATCCATAATGATCTCAGGTCAAAAGGCTTAGTGATATGGTTACATATGAGATAAACTTATAACTTACACCATACAGCTTTCTCATAGCGGGTTGGTCTAGCACCTTCTACTCTTTCAAGTGCCTATAACTTTGATTTATATCTCTATAATTAATTAAACTCATATTAGTCTTGTTTCATCTATGATCCTTCATAGATGACTGACCAGGGACATTTAGAAAAATTACTATAGTTTGTCCACAGATATAATTATCATAGTAAACATGCAATTGATATGATAACAAAAAGAGAAATTCATTAAATACTACTGTGCATAGTACAATGATTGGCCCTAGCGTACAATTTCCAACAGCTTGAACATTGAGTAATTGCATGCCTTGAAATGTTGCATTGTTATGCGTCGCATGATCTTGAGAGGTGAGAGTTTGCCTAGGGAGAGGAGTAGGAAATTAAATCCATGTGTAAGGCTTCCATCAGAGCTCGATGGTTAGTTTGGATTTATTATTTATATTGTCCCACTTGTTCAATAAGAGACTATCCTGCTGGTTTAACGAGAAACTCAAACCTAATTAGTTATCTACTTATTTAATGAGGAGGCCAATCTAGGGAGGATGACACCCCATATTATAAGAAATGAGGGAAACTGAGACCCACACTTGAGTTGGGCAACCTTGGCCGGATAACCTCTCATGCGTGTTTGGCTAGGGTAATCTCAATTTATAGACGATCCTAATGTGTTATAGCCCATGATTTTGTGTTAGAGGCATAAGAAAGATATAAGGAAGGTGTAATCATGTATATAGTGATAAAAGAATATATGGTTGTTTGTATTGTGACCTTAATGAAACAAATCATGTGATTAGTCCTATTTCTATATGAAATTGTACTAAATTATTAGTCCTATCTCATGAGCATGTGATGAATAATAATTTTATATATTTTATCCCACATTTTTCATGTATTTTAGTGATGATTTTGGGCTATTTTGGATTTATTAGATATTATTTTGATTATTAGCCAATTTTGAGGAATAATATTTTTTCAAATTAATTATAGGAATTTCGGGCTAAATTGTGAATATTTTATTTTCCTACCTTTAACATGGTTTAATTTTTTCAATCATTAATTGAGCTTAATTTAAATTATTATACATTATTTGAATTTGTGACCATTTTGTGAAAAAATTATAATTGCTAAAAAAATTAATTTGGAAATATTTTGACACATGGAATTTATTTTGAACATAATCTATACTAATGGGTGCATTTGATTTTTTAGGCCATGGAAATAAAATTAATGAATTTCAATGGTAAAGATTGAGTCTTAAAAAATGAAAGAACATCTAAGGGCTATAAAGAAACAAGATAAGAAAAGAATTATTAAGGTTTATTAAGGGCACAATAGGTATTTCCAATCAAGAAAAATTAGAGAATTTTTATAGTTTTTTTTTATATCTTTTTTCTCATGGGCTTCTTTTGAATTTACTGATTATGATTTCTAAAACTCTCTACTCTCTTTTTTAATCCTTTTTTTTTTTCAAACCCTCCCTTCCTCTCACCAAGTTTACACTACCGTTGAAACGAATGGAGAAGCTCTCTCTCAAATTTTTCCCCTTTTTGCGTGCATCATCGTCATCAGCTCTAGCCTCTTCTTTATCTTCATTTAATAAAATCATCCACAGCACCATTCTCCAATTTTCCCCTTTTTGCCATTCCTCTCATTCCCAGCACGCCACATGTGTGCACGTACACCAAGAGAATTGTCTCTTATTTCCATCTCCATTAATCATCTTCTCATGGCCGTGACTTTCTTGAAGCTTGTAGGAAGAAGAAAATCCATGGGAGCTTCACTCCTTCATAATTATATACAACGCGCGCGCGCGCGCGCACCAAGAGAATTGTCTCTTATTTCCATCTCCATTAATCATCTTCTCATGGCCGTGACTTTCTTGAAGCTTGGAGGAAGAAGAAAATTTATGAAAGCTTGAACTAATTTGAGAGACAACTTAGGACAAGCATGGAAGAAATTAGAGCCTAAAATTTACACTTGAAAATTATTGAGGAGTGATTTTTTATTTATTTTTAAATTTAAAAGTTTAAGATTATTTAGTTTTAAATGATTCTAAATTATAATGTTGAAAGACAATCTAGTTTTAAATTATAAATATTTTAAATCACTAACTTAAAATCTAGTTTTATATTATAAATATTTTAGATTGTAAATACTTTTGAATCTATATTGCTTAAGAAGTATATTATTGACAATATTATTAACAGTTACTACCAATAAAAGAAATTTTTCAAACTTAAAATAGCTTAAATTAAATTTTAAGATCAGTCACTTATCAAAAGTAAAATGTTAGAATTGTTGGATTATAAAATTTGAATATGTGATTTTACAGCTCAAAAAGCTAAAATATTGACATAAAAATAGATCAATGATAATATATTAAACTTCTCAAATAATACCTTAGGCTATAAAACCTCTTTTCATGGCCTTGATAATTCAAGGCCTAATCTATTTTTACTTAGCTATATATACATGTCAAGTAATTGACATGCTTTAATTTATATATTAAATTAATTTTATAGTTGATTTTGTGTTTTAAAATTCAAGGAGCCAATATATAATAATTTTAAAAAAATAAAAGACTAAATTTATAAAAAATTAAATTTAAGAGATCAAATTGATATATAAAACAAATTTAAGGAAATAAAAATTTCATTATATATCACTTCTTTTTTTTAAATCAATTTCAGTTTAACTTAAGTGAAACAAATAATAATAATTTTTTAATTATCACTTAAAATATAATTTAATTGTGAAATGTAAAAAAAATAAAAATCCTAGATTATTTAAATTTCATTAAAATAAAGCAACACATGAACAATGGACCAAATCTAAGCAGTCCCTTTGTGAAGAAGTCCACAATCTTATCTTCTCATTTTCACGTTCCAATTCCAATGTCATATCATTCTCGCACCAATCCAGCTCATTCTTGAAAAAAAAAAATCAAATGATAATACTAATAATAGAAAAATATTATAAATAAAATTAAATTATAAAATGACAAAAGAAAAAGAAAAAAAAATTCAGCAAGGCACTGAGTCTTCTGCTTACCCAAAAAAAAAAAAACAGAATAATAAAACATTAATTCAGCTCATTCTTGAAACAACACACTCCTTTTAACGCAAGCTCCTTTTTTAAAATTATTTTTAAATATGAATTGAGAAATTGATTTTAATATTTATGTTGTTTTTGTAAACATATTTGCCAAGCCAAAACACACATAGATGGTGAACTACAATGATTATCTATCTTTCTATTGGCTATAGGATCTACATCTTATCATTACATTCCGATTATTTTCCCTCTACTCCTTTATGAGTACACCACATGCACTTAATTTTGTGCAGTACAAGAAAATAGGAGAATTATATTAAAATCTAACAAAAAAAAATTATCATTGTCGGAGATTGTTGGAATTGGTAGGTAGATTTAAAGTCTGAGTCGTGTCAAGGATACTGTCTTTAAGAGCTATTCTGCCACACTAGATTGTTCGCACG